TGACACCTTTAGAGGGCGGCGCTGAGTAACGTTTGTTTATTTGACGTTCGTTAATGACGCCTTTAGAGGGCGGCGCTGAGTAACGTCTGTTTATTTGACGTTCGTTAATGACGCCTTTAGAGGGCGGCGCTGAGTGACGTTTGTTTATTTGACGTTCGTTAATGACGCCTTTAGAGGGCAGCAGTGAGTAACGTTTATTTATTTTATTACTATTTTCATTACTTAAGACCTAATTCTTTCTGTTAAAATATTCATAAATTAATTTTATGTCATTCTAATGCCTTTTAGCCTACATTACATCTCTGTGTGACTGTGTGTGTGTGTGTGTTGCTGTTGACTGCTTTCAGTTGATGGCTGGAGTAAATGAAGCTGTTGAAAATGAAGACTGAACAAAACAGTACCGTTAAAAAAAAAAAAATAGTTCTTTGATTTAAAAAAGTATCACTCAGTCTAAAATATGATGACAGACACAGTGGATTAGTCAGCACAGGGGATGCTAATAGCTCAAGGCTGCAGTGTGTGCTGAGTGAGAGAAGCTCCTGAATGAGGTCGTCCAATTAGTTCACCTTTGAAGACAAAACATTTCTGAACAACAGCAAAACCCGGCTAATCACATGCGTCACGGCATCGCTCCCCTTCCCTGACCGGTCCGTCAGAATCATCGTGGGCTGAGTCGTTGCATAAAATGAGCAGAAAAAAGACAATAAAGACACTAATTGTGTTTACTTTCGCACTTTCTCTGCGTGTGTTCTCAGCATAAATGAGGCCTGAGCTGATCCCACAGCAGGGCTGAGCTTCGCCTGTTGCTGCAGAAGGGAGAGCCTCAGGTAGAGAGAGAGAGAGAGAGAGAGAGAGAGGTCCTGTCGTCATGTTGCAGGAATTCAGCAGCTTCTTGCTGAGCCAAGACCCTCATTCAAAACACGTGTGTGTGTGTGTGTGTGTGTGTGTATGTGTATGTTATGGCCCCCAGATCAGTGGTCTGTGCACATCAGGGGGCTCTGTATCGGGGGCTCTCTCTCCTTTGCTGCCGCCAGAGAAAGGATCACTTTCAGCTGCTCTTTAAACTGCTGACTCGCCCTCTCTCTCTCTCTCTCTCTCTCTCTCTCGTTTGCAGACCTGCTTTCTTCTACCCTTTCTCTCACTCTTTCGCTCTCTCTCTTTGCTCTTTCACGTTCTGTCTCTTGCTCACTTGCTTAGATTCTAACTTTTGCTTGCTCACTCTTACTTTCTCGCATTCACTCACTCTCATTCTCACTCTTTCTCTCTTGCTTGCTCACTCTCACACATTCTCTCGCTCTGACTCGTTCACTCTCTCCCTTCCGCCCCAGTCTCTGTTACTTTAAACTCCAGTGTACCTTAAACTCCAGCCTTGATTCACATATAACTACATTATACACCCCAACTCTACTCCTCTCTCTCTGTGTGTGAGTGTGTGAGTGTGTGTGTGTGTGTGTGTGTGTGAGTGTGTGTGTGTGTGTGTGTGTGTGTGTGAGAGAGAGTGTGTGTGTGTGTGTGTGTTTATACTCTCAGCAGAGTAAAAGTCTCGACTGGAATTCATTTACAGTGTGACCTGAATTGACCACAATATCTCTATATTTTCTCTCTCTTTTTATCTCACTCTCTCTCTCTCTCACTCTCTCTCTCTCTCTCTCTCTCTCTCTCTCTCTCTCTCTCTCTCTCTCTCTCTCTCTCTCCCTCTCCCCTAATCTGTCTTTCTCTCTCTTTCCCTAGATCTCTCTTTTTTTTTGTCTCTCTCTCTCTCTCTGTCTATCTGTCTCTCTCTTTCTCTCTTTCTCCTTATCTATCTTTCTCTCTCCCTCTCTTTCTCTCTCTCTCACTCTCACTCTCTATCTGAGCCAACATTGTAGTCCATAACAATGTGTTTTTTGCCGAAACTCATAAAAATATAGATGATCATGCAGCCGTAATGTTTTGAAAACTCAGCTGTAGTTAAGATGTTAGCAGGGAGACAAAAGGTTGAATAGGAATATTACAAATTGATAGACAGTGTCAAGATGTTTAATGATATGATGTCGGTGGTGAGTGCACTATGATGATAATATAGGGCTGGGCAATAAAACAATAGCGATAATTATCGCGATATAACTTTCCTCGATAGAAATATAAGAAATGTTTGATAAATGTTCGACATTATAGAGCATTCTCACACTTCCACGTTCTGGCGACAGCCTTGGTGGCGTTTCGTACTGCAAGGATAACTACACTACTCTGTGTTTTTAGCAGCTGGCTAACTTGAAGCAGCGCTCAGTTTAAACGTACCTTAAAGGAGGACTCAGTTAACGCTTGTACACAGCGAGCGTCAGACATATTGCGGCTCAGCGTTTCTCAACCTGTCGGCCGCCGACCACCAGTGGGCCGTGAAGCACCCTCTAGTGGTCCGCGGGCAAGAGCTCAGGGAGGCAGTTGTTCACAGTGGGCCGGTAGCGGCGCATAAATGAAAACAATGCAGTCGCAGGCTAACTAAACGTCATCAGTCTGAGACGACGCAGCCGCTGGCGCTCAGCGCAGACGGTCAGAGACCGAAAGGTTTCTCAGGGTGTTTCTCCTGCCTTGATCGGTGCGGACAGATCAGACTCTTTCTTTAGTTCGCTCTGTTTTGATGTGTGTCATCACTCCCGTATTCGGGTCTGCATCAAACAAACCAAACCCTGTTCAGTTCATGGCTGCTGGGACGCATTTTATGATTAACCTCTTATGCTCCGGGGTATATTTTGGTTTGTCCATCTGAATTTACATGACCAAATCGTAAGGCAAATTATTCAGTACCTACATGAAATAAATGCAAATTTTTATTTTATTTATTTATTTAGTTTTTTTGTAAAAGCTCCCCTCAAATTAACAGAACATGTGTTTTATGATCACACATATTGATATATGCTTACAATTTACTGCTAAAAGCCAAAAATCTTAGACGCTCTTTGTATTATTTTATAAAAATAATTTTTACAGAGTAAATGTTTATAGTTTATAGCCCAGATTTGTGGAAAAAAGGGTCGACTTTCAGTAGAAAAAAAAATTGTGAGCTCAGCTTCTTTTATTATAAGGGTGTAAAATTACATCACCCATCTATTTGACTGGAAAGAAGACAGTTACAGCTCTCATACGACCCCCACCTTTAGAATGTAGCTTATGAAATATGAAAGTTATGAAGAATATGACGAACTGCGTTTTGGAACCACCGGTGGTTCCAAGGAGCATAAGAGGCTACATGAAGGAATTCATGAACAGAGCTGACTTTCCTCTTCTTCTATCAGAACGTCAGCGTTGTATACGGTCAGCTTTAACGTCTGACTCTTTACAGACTCTCATTGCTCTCATATCGTTCCTGCAGTTCGGACTGCAGTTGATAAAAACGACAAACGAGCCTTAAAATAATAGAGAAGATCTGCGTTTGACTTGTGGCCGAACTTCAGCGACCTGAGTAGTTAAACTGAGCCCAGAAGCCCCCTGAGTGGAGTGAAGTTTAGTTCAAATTAGGTGCTAAAACCCTTGTGATGATGTAAAGTACTCCTTTACACATCACTATATAATGATTATGGTTGTAAACACTTACCTGTAGTTACCTGAAGACTGATTATCCCTGCTTTGAGGAGCAAAGAGAACTGAACGGGTCCATCCTCTGTAGAAGAGGAGGGAAGGACCAAACCTGTAAGAAAAGGAAATTGTTTAATAAGTGTACACTGTATTGTGAATATGCGTTAATGACATCATAAATGTAACTGTGAAGAATAAGTGAAGAACATGAATTATTTACTGAATGTAAATATATTTAAATAGCTGAAACACTTGTTTTAACCCGGGCCAGTAATGGTATATTCTAGGGGAGGAGCACCCCTAATATAAGCAGCATTACTGGGGGGTACGGGGGGGGGGTTGATGATTGAAGGTGATGCGAGTGGAAGACCTATATGACTTTGCAGTCATTGGTCTGTTTCTTAGTCGTAGAGACTATTTTCGTTTTGTTTTCGTTTGTGATGTGTGCAAATGTAAATATGTAAATAATCCCGAGTGTTGGTGTGTAAATAAAGGTGACGGGGAGAAGAACTCTTGGACCAGCTGTATTTTATTCCAGTTACTTGGACCACTTGCCCAACGCTACCCATAAGGTGTGTCCCCTGCCACAGCATACTGCCGGGTCGTGGGACACACTTTATCACAACCCTCAAACCTAAAGAGACTCCAGACCAAAGAGTCACTGGGAGCAGAGAGTATTTTCAGTGAAAACGTGATTGACCGCAGCTCCAAATCACTGTCCACATCTACATCTACCTTTCTTTTTCCCCCTTTTTTGACATCCCTTCATACATATGGGTTTTAAACATGTTCTTCAACATAACTTTTGGTTTCTGTGATTGAGGTGAGAGGGATGATCTGATCTTTTTCAGGCCCTGATTCAGAGGTTTTCAGTGTGAGCAATTTAGAAGAGAAAAAGAAGGGGTGGAAAAGGTTGAGAACCCCTGGAATAGAGAAATCCAGATGTCCACAAGCTGGTGTTTGAATACTGTGATGTGCTCCGACATGGATGTGGTAGGAGTGATGGCAGTAAGGCGGTGTATTCCATCACTGACGTACCGACCCAGCTAACGTTTGCTGTTCGTACTAAGCTGATGTTTTTCTTTCTTAAATTATGAATATTACAAAAATTGCAGCCGTGATTTTCCAGCTGGTAAAAACAGCTGACCAGAAACTTTCTCCCACTCTCCCATGACAGATTTGTGAAATGTTCCACTGTTTTGCAAGTATTTGTCATGTTCTGACCATAAAGGATAGTTTAAAACAGGAACTGACCACTCGGGAGCAGAAATCAGCCTTCGAACTTGAAAGAGAGAACGATTTGACATTTATCGCGATATTGATCGCGATTTTTCACCGCATTTTTGGCCATATCGCCCAGACAGACTTTAGTTTCGACCACGACAATCAGCGCTGCTTTGTCACAGTGAAGCTGTGTTCAATTTCAGTCTCTTGTCTTTCTGCAGCCGTAACTTTCACGGATGATGAAAAAGAACAGATGAGAAAGTTCACGAACCGCTCCTACCCGCTGGATAAAGCGACTCGATACCAGGTTTGGCTCAGTCTAGTGGACATCCTCCTCGCCTACGTCTACGACGTGCGCACCACGGAAGGAGAGCACAACGTAAGTGTGTCCTCATGTTAAAGTTTTACCTGCTGTGTGAAACAAACGCAGAAACAATAGCGCTCTTCCTTCCCCCGACACTCTTCAAGCCTCCGCCGTCAGAGTAGTTTTAAAACTCTTCACGTTCGTCAAGAATCCAGACTCTTTTTAATGTATTCCAGGCAGCAGTTTCGAAAGAATCCTATTGAAAAGCTGCCACACATACCAGCGATAAAAATAGGTATGTTAAAATGCATAAAAATAGTGTTTTCTTCTGTGCTATGAGTTTTAAATCACAGGTCTAAACCTATGGAGAAGCTGAGCTATAATTCTGGAAAGACCTGCTGGGTGCAGCTACTGTAAACAGATACGCTGGACCGGGGCCTGAACTTTTGACATATTGCAAACATTCTTTGGACAACTGTGCTTTAGTTTCCTTTTGGAAAAGCTGGAAAACTACTCAGCTTTCCCCCCTCAAAATGTTTCTCTTTTGTGAAAAATGTGAATTCTTAGTAACAGAAGAGTTTGTGTTGGTTTGGAGCCACAGCACAGCTCTGAAAACGTGTTAATCTCACAGCGTAGTTATACAGAGAGCGCAGCAGTGGAAGCTCTTGAAAGGTTTGGAGCTTTGTTAATGCTCAGATGGGTTTGATGTGGTCAGTGTGAGCTGGTTTTATGCATGTGTTTTAAGTTATATGCCCTGCAGGACTGATTCAGTTGTGTTTTGCAGGTGGAGTCAGCGTGGACCATTAGAAAGCTCAGTGGAACTCTAAGCTGGCTGGAGGTACGGTGTGCTACACGGTCAACATAGAGATTTCTACACACCTCATAGCACCATGAGAGCAATATGAGATCTGTTATTCCCATTCTCGACATTCTTCGATTGTTTATGATTTGGAATTTTTCGTTTCCGTTCATTTTTAATGTAAGAAAGTATCAATGAGTCAATCCATCAACCTTTATTTAACCTCGGAGAACATTGAGGCTGACCCTCATTTACGGTGTCGCCGAGTTGACACAGAACAAAGGATTGATGTGGAAGAACATATCAAATAATAAAAGTAAATTTAATAATAAAAATGGCTCATCAGGTAAGTATTAAAAAAAGAAACATTAATAAAAAAAACATAAAAACAGCACAAAATATAAAACAATAATTAAAATGCAAAATTTAATAAAATCAAAGGAAGATAAGATCAAAAAAGGAAACTAAAATTAATTAAAATGAGTGAAATAATAATAAAATAATCAGAATTAAATCAAGAATGAGAATATTAATAATAATAAATGAACAAATAAATAAATTGGGAGAAAAAAACTAAAATAATGAAAATAAGACAATAATAATAAAAATCAAATCAAAACAGTTGCAGGCAGAGTGGAGGTGGTTAGAGAGTAAAAGTTTAAAATAACTGAGTGGCACTGTAAATAAACGCAGATGTGTAAACAACAGTATGTGTAAACAACAACACAAACGATAGAGAAATTGCTCTTGGCATTCTTTTATTTGAAACTCCAGAGGTAATGTTCAGTATCAGCAGGAGAGCCTGAGCCATAAAAGGCATTTATGCTACCATTCAGAAGTTTGGAAGCACTATTTTCATTAATATGAAACCAAGTTTGTTGAAAAATATGTGTATAAGTTAAATAATTTAATGATATTTAATGATATATAAGGAATGGTTCAGCAAAGAATCTGCAGTGTTCCACTGACTCCAGATGTAGTCGATCAGACATGTTTGGTGTCCAGATTTGGTTTCCTTAGTTTAGTGCTGGAGCTACAAGGCTAGTGATCCCAACAAACACTAGAAGTCAATAGTCACCCAAATATTTCTCTGTAAATACGTCCCCTAAACCTCTCTCTGCCTCTCAAACAGCATCCAGCTTTTGCAGACATTGCAGACGTGCTGGATTCTGACTCCCTTTAGCATTACAGAGGCATATGAATGCCAGATTATGTTCACAGTTTCTCATTTCCATTTAATAAATAACAGTTAATCTTGAATTTTCTAACTGAAGAGATGTTTCTAGTAGAGACAACAGAAGCTGTGAATGTAATCTAGCATCCATTTGGCGGCACACGGACGTACATGTGAAGGAAAGTCTGATTCCTCCTTACTCGGGAAAGGAGGAAAAGATTTAGGTGACTATTGACTTGTACTGTTTGTTAGCAACGCTAGCCTTGTAGCTTTAAAACTAGAGATGCGAAATTTGGCTGACTGACTACATATGAGATGAGATTTTTCACCGAACTGTATCTGTTAGATACCACTACTCTGCAGCATTACAGGTATCAAATAGTTTGTAGGGAGCTCTAAAAAATGAAGAAGGGTCAGATGTTTTATACCTAAACAAGATTTACTTCACCTCTTAAAATGTTTTCATAATATTTCAGAATGTTCCTAAACAGCTGCTGTCCCAACTTTTTTGGAATGTATTGCAGGCGTCAGTTTCAAGATGAGCGTATATTTAATAAAAGCAATGAAGTTGATAAGGTAAAACATTAATTATCTTTTCTTTGTGCTGTTTCTGTTTAAATACAGGTCAAATTTGATGTGCAAATTACTGCTTTCTGCTTTTATTTGCGTTTTTTCTACTGTTCTAACTTTTTTTCGGAATTGGATTTGTCCTAAATAAACAACAATAGATGCACTAAGGTTTGTGGTGCACCTAAGGCTTAAATTGACACAGCATGTCATGTGTTCTGGGCTCAGTGTTGCGTATGAGAGGACCGAAAGATTAGAAGTTCTTTTTCGCTGAAGTAGGAGAACACAGTTAGGAAATGAGGAAGAGGTTCTCACTGTGTGCCAATGATAAGCTCGACGGCTCATGGGCAGAAACCAATGCATGCTCTGGTGGGCCGGCTTCAGATTACTTCAGCCACTTTGAATACTTCTGTACCACTTGTCAGATGAGAAAGGAGTTTCCTGCTGAGATGTTCCGGCTCTGAAACAATACGTCATACACTGTATGTCTAAAAGTCCAGTCACCCCTTCTAATTAATGAATTCAGCTTCAACTTTATGGCGCACAGGTGTTCAGTTGTGCACTTGTAGCTTGTATAATCTCTATAAGCACTGACCAATAGAAAGGGACGCTCTGGAGCAGCTGCACAAACCTAAGGTCACCATGCCCGTCGGCTAGAGGGGTATAAAGCCCCCCAGCACTGGGCTGTGGAGCAGTGGAACTGCATTCTGTCATGTCACGGCGCTCCATCCAATGATCCATCATTAGTTCCTGACCTCACTAATGCTCTTGTGGATACAGAGTGCAGTCAGATCCTCACAGCAATGTTCCAACATCTAGTGTAAAGCGTTTCCAGAGGAGTAGAGGCTGTTACTGCAGCAAAGGGGCACAAACTCCCTATTAATGACCTTCATTCCAGAGGAAATGCTTGACTTCCAATGTTTGGACATATAATGTGCTTTATAGATAGGTAGGTAGGTGGGTGGGATGGATCGATGGATGGATCGATGGATGGATCGATGGATGGATCAATGGATGGATAAAGTAGGTATGTAGATAGATAGATAGATAGATAGATAGATAGATAAAGTAGGTATTTAGATAGATAGATAGATAGATAGATAAAGTAGGTATTTAGATAGATAGATAGATAGAAAGATAGACAGACAGATTGATCGATAGATAAAATAGGTATTTAGATAGATAGATAGATAGATAGATAGATAGATAGATAGATGAAGTAGGTAGGTAGGTAGGTAGGTAGATAGATACATAGATAGATAGATAGATAGATAAAGTAGGTATTTAGATAGATAGATAGATAGATAGAAATGTAGGTAGGTAGGTAGATAGATAGATAGATAGATAGATAGATAGATAGATAAAGTAGGTATTTAGATAGATAGATAGATAGATAGATAAAGTAGGTATTTAGATAGATAGATAGATAGAAAGATAGACAGACAGATTGATCGATAGATAAAATAGGTATTTAGATAGATAGATAGATAGATAGATAGATAGATGAAGTAGGTAGGTAGGTAGGTAGGTAGATAGATACATAGATAGATAGATAGATAGATAAAGTAGGTATTTAGATAGATAGATAGATAGATAGAAATGTAGGTAGGTAGGTAGATAGATAGATAGATAGATAGATAGATAGATAGATAGATAGATAAAGTAGGTATTTAGATAGATAGATAGATAGATAGATAGATAGATAGATAGATAGATAAAGTAGGTATTTAGATAGATAGATAGATAGAATGGCTGGGTGTATAAATAATAACAGTACAATATGCAATATTTATGGACGTATAAACAAAGTGGCAGCGCATCGTACAGAGTAGAGATATATAATGTCCAGTTGGTGCCCAGTGAGCCTGTCCGGTCAGTAGCTCAGTATACAGTAATGTCCCGGCACAGTGATGAGGTGTTGTACAGTGTGATCGCTGAACGAATTCCTGTACCGTTCCTCAGTACATCTGAGCTGAATTGGTCTATTGGTAAAGATGCATCGCTGTCTGACCAGTAGGTCATAGAGGGGGTGTGATGAATTGTCCAGGATAGCAGTGAGTTTAAGTGACTTCCATCCAGTTTGTTCAATAGGCTTATGCTAAAACGCTTGAGATTTGTTTTATAGGCAAATATATATGAAGAATGATGACCACATGTGAATGTATTCAACGGGTATTCTCCAGCAGCCAATGAGAGCTCAGCATATGTGGAAATGTCTCAAAGCCTGTTAGAAAAGCGTCTCAGCTGCATCCTCATGAAGCTGCTTGTGGAAATGTCAGTAGGGTGCAAAGCTGCATCAAGGCAGGGGGGGGGGGCTACTTTGAGGAATCTAAATAGAAGAGCTTTTTTTGTTTCTGCCATTTCATGGTTCAGCTCTCTTTGCTATCATTCCAAAGTGTGGACGGTAGTACAAAAACAAGGGAAACTCTATTTATATAGCACTTCTCATTTTAGTCAGTAGATCAAACTCAGGGCATGACTCCCTGACTCCTCTACTTAAGTCCTGAATCATTTCCTTTGTCGCAATCAGGCCTACGACCGTAGTATCGTCAGCGAAGTCGACGGTGGAATTTGAGTCATGCTTTGTAACGCAGTCGTGGGTGAACAGGATCTACAGCCTGGGGGTCCTGCTGTTCATTTTGTTTTTCAAAAAAAAGAGCTGAAGTCTTCTAGTTTGACAGCCTTTAATCCTTTCCTAGGTTGCTGCTTGCTGAGCATGGCATGCTAATGGACTCAAACCAGAAACATTATAAAATACAACGTTCATGTTGTGCAGTTTACGCCCATATTAAAAAAAAAGAACGTAGGCTCTATTTCAGATACCACTGATAATAATAATAATAATAATAATAATAATTGTTATTTATAATAATAATAATTATTATATTGTATTCATTAAGTACCTTTAATACATTAAAAATGCAGCTCAAAGTGCTTCACAATACAAAGTACAAAAATAATAAATAGCTGAAAAGGCAAATATTAATAATTACAATTAAAAAGCACAATATAAAAGTATAAATACAAGAGAAAAAATACAATGAAAATGCAGTTAACAAGAAAATAAAAGCAATATTAATATTCCAGTAAAAACAATAAAAAACCTAGTGGAACACTAAAGTAAAGAAATATGTTTTTAACTGTTTTTTTAACAGAACATTGACAGAAGGAGCCTGACGGATGTTTGTTGTTAATGCGTTTCAGATCTTTGGTGCATAAAAAATCTTGATTTGGATCATAATCTATCAGCACTGCGAAATGTGTGAAGGATGGCCATATAGGGTACTTTTATGTATTC